GGAGAGAGACTAGAGAGAAAGCCAGAGGGAAAGAGAGAGAGACCCGTCTAACTAACTGTGCGCCAGTCTCCCCCCCCCCAATGATCAAGTGTATTATCTGATCCGTGGTCCAGAAAAAAGCGTGCGTGCAAGACGCCCGCTTGCCCGCCCAAGAGAGAGAGAGAGAGAGAGAGAGAGAGAGAGAGACTCGGCCATCCCCCAACCATCAGGTGTACTGAGTAACTTTAAAAAAGAAGCAAAAGGAAAACGGAAAATCCGCTCGCATACGGATCAGTTCAATGGGGAAAAAAAAACAAGGGAAGCATGAGCGATTTTGGAAATAAAAGAAACCGGAAACACAAGTGATTTCAGGGGAAAAAAAAAGGTAAAGGTAGCGTGCACGCACGCAGCCGCAAGATGTAAGACGCAGAGAGAGAGAGAGAGAGGCCATCAACTTCTTGGCAAACTTTTCATTTTTATTGCGGGCGTAGCCGCAACAGGTCCCCTAGTCTAACTTAACTGGTCAAAGGGGTAATAACTTAAGCTGTTCTCCTTAAAAAAAAATAGAAAATAAAAATCATGGAACTGACCCATCCCAGGTAATTCAGATTGATTGAAAAATCTTGTCACCTGATTGTATCCGGATTCGAACTTGGGTCTGATTCATATTTCAACAGTTCGTCGGTGTATCAACTGAGCTACAGTCTTCCCCCAAATACAATGTACGGTCATTATAGCTGAATTTAGACTGAAAGATGCACCAAATTCAGCTATAATGACCGTACGTTGTATTCGGGGAATTTAGACTGAAAGATACACCAAATTCAGCTATAATGACCGAACGTTGTATTCGGGGGAAGACTGCAGCGGCCCGTTGGCCGGCAAAGGCCCTTTTCTGACTGGACAATTATCAAGCCACGCGTTGCCCGGACAAATTAGAAGAGCTGGACTGGTTGTCTTTTTTTTTTTTTTTTTTTTTTTTTTTTTCGGGATGTCTTTGTGTGCAGGGAGAGGGAAGCTATGTGAAAACCACCCCGCTGTAAGTCCGGGTAGACATGACCCCTTGAATTCAAGGACATTTTGGTGAATTCAAGGGGTCCTCGCGAGGTCCCCTTGGATTCCTCAGAATTCTGAGGAATCCAAGGAAGTCTCTCGGGAGTGTTTTCACATTCATTCAAGGAATTTGGTGAATTAGGACGTGATGTAGTCATGCCGGTTTCCTAAAAACCGGATTTCCAAGGAGGGTGTAACGAGGCCCTAAGTTTGCTTTTTCTGGTGCATGGAAGTTCTCTTTTTGTTTCAAACTTTTTTTTTTCTGGAAAAGCTGCAATCAAGCGACACAGCTGATTTTTTTTTTTCAGGAGTTGTGAAGTTTTTGGGTCAACATCCTTGGCATGGGAAATACAGTAGGGCAAGGCATCTTCACAATGTTTTTTTAATAAAGTGCATTTACAAGGGCGTGTCATCCTCGATACCAGAGACAAAGCATGCATCGGACTACTCCAATGACCCCCTACTCTATTGTGGCAAAGTACTTGGGCCCCGTTTCACAAATTTGTCACTTGAGGGAGGGGTCGGGGGCTGGGGCAGCTGAGTGCCCCTCTGCAGCGTTTAGTAGTTCCATAGCTGTTCAAGCTATCGAGTCTATAGGACATTCTTAACACCTAGGTCTGGAGGATTTATTTCTGTTAAGTCCCTTTTTCCCTTCGTAATTAGAAGTTGATAATTGAGAGAGTATTTCCTTCTTTGCAATTTGCAGGGCCTTTTAGGGGGGGGGGGGGGGCAGACTTTTTGTGGTCTACTAGGGAGTTGTCCCTCTCATCTCCCTTTTTCCTTTGTCCTGTGTTTTGTCAAGGTGTATACACTGCATACTCCCTTTTTCCTTTGTCCTGTTTTTTGTCAAGGTGTATACACTGTATAGTTTAACTGTTTTTTCTTTTTTTGTTTTGTTTTTTTTTTCCCTGAGAAAAACTGTGCAATATTCTTCTTATCTTACATCGTCTTTCAAATTCTGTCAATTCACATTCACTACCCACCCACGTACCACTACTCCCAAGGCTTATACAGGGGACCTCAGTAAATATAGCTTTGTTTTCTCTCTCCAGCCATCAGAGGGCATGCATGTTTCTCCCCTCACCCAACAACAACAACAACAACAACAACAACAACAACGGGAAAAATACCAACAACTTTGGTGGCTGCGAGGACTGCACCGAGTGCCCTGACGAAGGTCAGCCTGGTGCGGACAGCATCAGCGGCACTAGCGGCACCTGCATCATCGTGGAGGATAATAACACCGATCGCACCAACATCGATAACAGCAACAACGACCATTACAACAACAACAACATCAACAATACTCGGCTCTCTCCCCGCTTGGCGCGATCCCGTAGGTTACATCCCGTAGGAGCTCAAGTGCAGGAGGGTTTCCCCGCACCCTGCCTTGACATGGCTGATGCTATTGAATTTGGTACAGGTACGCGTTTGGAGTTTGCTGGTACTCGTCTCTTTCGGGGCAAAATACCGTCCCGTATTGATGATGGCAGGCAGGACTCCATATCGTCAACAGCTTCGCTCACAAAGCTGGTGGGGATGTTTGCGATTACGTAATGGGTGAGCAGGAATGAATAGCGGAGGATGGGTGATTGAGATTTGCAAGTCGGGGAGCTCTATTCTCTCCTCCATGATCCGGTAATTCCACTATTTTGCTATCCCCGCCTCTGTCGATTGCCATTGATTTTTCATAACAGATAGCCCATGCTTTTCCTGGTTGATCAACAATGCTGATATACTGACAACAGGAGCGGTGATGTGGGTTCGTTAGGAACTTCTCGCTTCCTCCACCTTATGCAACAAGTGGTACCATGACGTATGGAGGAACGGGGAGTGTGGATCTACTTGTTTTTCTCCAACCCACGTCAAAGCAGAATTGCTAAATTGCTTATAAGATCATTGTACTCTAGCTATCTGCGCTCCCCCCCAACTTACAGTGTTTGCGTCGGAATGTTGATCTCATTCGACCATCCTTTGCCCTGCGACAACTTCTGCTTTTTTTTTTTTTTTTTTTTTTTTTTTTTTTTTTTCCCAAACTTCGAGTCATGGCCACCTGCAACAACTTCTCTTCTCCTCTCTTCTGCTGGTGTTGAAGGGTTCCAACTGCTGGTGTTGAAGGGTTCCAAGTGCTGGCGTTGTGTTGAGCAGGGTCTTTTTTTACATCATTGTGTAAGGGACGCTTGACCCGATTCCCAGCTGACACATGTTATTGTATAGGGACACTGGACCCGATGCCCAGCAGGTGTAGCTTCCCACCAATAGATGGAGCCTTTAACGCCGGGATCCACTTGACGGGCTACTCTTACCACTCCCGCATGCCCTCTGATGGCTGGAGAGAGACAACAAAGTTGTTGGTATTGTTGCCGTTGTTGTTGTTGTTGGTGGTGGTGGTGGCGGTGTTATAGTCGTGGCCAATGATGCAGGTGCTGCTGTTGCTGTTGTTGTTGGTGGCAGTGTTGCAGTCGTCGTGAATGATGCAGGTGCCACCAAGGTAACCTATGCTGTCCTCCAACACCTCTTCGAAGAGCGCATAGCAGACATTCAGCAGCGCATCCGCCTGGTTCCAATCAATGAGGGGATCGAGTTGAGAAGCTGGCCCCTCTCCCAGTTCCCAGACGATTGAGCTGAGAAGCTGGGCCCCCTTCCAGTTCCCAGATGATCGCCAAAGATGAGTCGAAAAAAACAAAAAAACAAAACAAAAACAGGGCTGCATAAAGTGGGTGTGATGATTGGAAAGTGGATCGCGATCAGAGCTCATAGGTGCAGAGCCTGCTGCTCCTTGCATTGGAGTGAAAATAGGGCTAGCGTGCTGTGTCAGACTTCCCTGACCCTCTCTCTCCTCTCTCTTTTGCTCTTTCTTTTTTTTTTTTTTCTCACATCCCTTCTATTTTTTTTTTATTTTAAATGTGAACAAGGCTCGAATCCATTCCTGGGGATCAGCACGTGCTCCCTTCAAAGCATACTTGCGGCGCACCGACCCTGTGCGCTGCGCAGTTGGCCGCGCGCTGTGCGGTGCGCTCAGGGCTGGTGCGCTTGGGGGGTGGGTGCTGGTGGGGTACAAGTGCGCCGGGTGCGCACACCATTTTTTTATTTTTTTTAATTTTACTGTTTGTTTAGGGATTTATTTTACTGTTTTTTTTTATTTTAGGGAGAGAGAGACAGAGAGGTCTCCAATGTCGCGGGTGGTCTCCTGGTACTTCCATCGAAACGACGAGCAAAATCGAGTGAATCTACCGCTGCAACATGGAAATATACACCGCCAAATTTGTGTGTGTGTGTGTGTGTGTGTGAGAGAGAGAGAGAGAGGAAACCGTATGAGAGAGAGAAGAAACTGTGTGCTGACACTATCGGACCGAAGAAACTGCCCTTATCAACGGGGAACATGAATTCGGAAGCGGGGCGACATGCACAAAGGACAAAAAATATGGCAGTGTATCTTTCCATGTTGTGGTGGAGGATTCATTCATACGTTGGGTGGTGGAGAACGATGGGCCGATGAATCCGGTAAGCACGTAACGTATCTCTGGAAACTTTTTCTTTTTTTTTTGGAGAATCTCTGAACAAATGAGACTGAATCCTCCGCGTGAACATGGAAAGATGCATTGCCACTTATGGGCCTCGCTGCACTATGGAAATCTGGAAACCGAGAGAGAATCTTGTTAGAATATGGAAAGATACACCGCCAATATTTTTGTCTTTTGTGCATGTTGAGTGTAGTGCAGCGAGGCCCTATGTCTTGTTGTGCATGTTGAGAGTTGTGCAACGAGCCCGTTGGTGAACATTACCGTTGAAGTTCTGACAGGTTGGATGCGCCGGGCTTCACTCCTGCAAAGAAATTCTATAAAAAAATTCCAGGAAAAACGGCTGTCAGTTCCGCCGTTTTCTACTACAGAAGTAATAATAAGCGATCGTTTTGAGAGATCGGGACCCTCGTCATGACTGAATCTGGCCTGCAAGAACCCTACCATACAGACGGCAATAACCCTACCACACAGTGTGTTACCCGGACTGCAGGTTACTAAAATCTTTCAGGCCAACGCGTGGCCTCCAAAAAAAATTTGAATGGTCGTTTCTCATTCTACGCGAGCAGGGGGAAGGGTCTACTACCGCCCCTCACAACTTTTTTTTTTTTTTTGGCCCCCATTTTTGGAGGTGTGTCGCATGCAGTGCACGCGCGTCGTGCGGGAAGCGCGGTGCTGCGCACGTGCGCAGTACAGCGCATCGTGATGCGCCGCAAGTGTTGCTCCAAAGGCATTGTTCCCAGATTTTGGTTCAGATACGAGGAAAAGTGAGAAAAGTTTGGTGTTCTCATTACAAAGGATTGTCTAGTAGTTTAGGTGAATCGAAGCATTGCTGATTCATTCGAAGGAGGCGCAGGACTGTCAATATTTTTCTTCATTCAGTTTCAAAGCATTGCTGTATAGGTACAGGGTCGCTGGACCCGGTTTCCAGCAGGTGCAGCTCCGCACCACTAGATGTGGGGGGGGGGAAGGCTCGTACCACTAGAGAGAGTCTTAAGGCACTAGTACCTTTGCGGCGTCGGAGATGAGGGAAAACGCCAGCTCCCGAACTGACCACGGCAGTCGTTGATTAATCTAATCAGCGGCAGTCATTTTGTTTAAGCATCCTGACAGGTCGGAGGCCCGCTGTTTTGCTAACCGACAAAGGTGCTATTGGTTAAACCACCAGTACTTGGCTCAGCTATTGGCCGCGGCGCTTTCGCATTAAGTTGCCGCACCTTTAGGGCTTCGGGGTACCAGACCACAATGGCTGGATGCGCCAGCCAAAAGAAATTGAAACGATACCCCGGCGCTTCGGGGAAAATTGGTGCGCAGGGGCATTCCAGGCTCTGCATCAATAGCTGGGGCAAGTACTGGTGGTTTATAAAGAAAGCAAAACAAAAATACAAGTGTAAGTGCAACACAAGATGCTCTCATTGCTGTGGATGTGGACCTGATTTGCGCAAAAGAGGTGTAAAAGGTAGATTCTAGGAAGATTTTCATGTCCGGCTGGGCACCAGGGCGTCACGCCCGGGGGAAGAGGACCCAAAATCCAGGCTGTTTTGATTTTTTGAGAGTTGGCTGTCAAGAGGGGGAAAGGGGGATATAAATTGGCATTAAAGCTAGGTTAGCAGTCGTCCGATGGCCGGATGTCTCGGTCGGACGTCTCCCCCAACCGTCCGGTAGGGGGGTTGTTCGGAATCCCGGACAACCACTTTTTTGGCATTAAAAAAAAAAATAAAAAAAAATTGACAGTGTTGCGCATGCCATAAAGACCCCCCATAAACAATTTCAGAAATTTCTGAGCATTTGGTGATAGGGTGCTATTTCGGGTGGGACGAGGGGGTACGAGGGTTTTTGGTGGGGATAGGAGGGGTATTTATCTTTTTGTCTACTGGCTCAAATAAGCCAAAACTTTGGTGGCATACACCTTATGCAAGGTAGAAGCCACATGATTTTTTTTAGTTTTTTTAATTTTTTTTTTTAATGTTTTTGCGCTAGGTCGGACATTCCCTGTTGGGTCTGACGCCCGACCTAAACGTTGTTTGTATCGCAGTTCTACACGACTTATTTTTTTTATGGAATTTTTTGACTTTCGTTTTTTTTTTTTTTTGAGACAACTGCGCCTGTGACCGCTGTACAGTTCAGAATTCGCAGAAATAACAGTCCACTGCAAGATTGGGCCGTGAGCAGTTTTTGACGGCCTACCGGTTCGATAATGGGCAAAAACGGGAGGTGGCCTGTGCTAGCAGGTACCCGAAGCAGGCGCTCCCGTTTTTTTTTTTTTTTTTTCTCCTTTTTGGCTTCTGGCGGGAATGGGTTGTGGCTGGAAAACGATCCTACTTTGTCAGTATGTCCTGCCCCTCTCTCTCTCTCTCTCTCTCTCTCTCTCTCTCTGTGCTGCTGGGCCCTCCCGTTTTTTTTTGTTTTTTTTTTTTTGTCCTTTTTGGCTTCTGGCGGGAATGGGTTGTGGCTGGAAAATGATCGTACTTTGTCAGTATGTCCTACCCCACTCTCTCTCTCTCTGTGCTGCTGGGCACACCAAAGTGCAAATGTATGGTCCATTCTTTGCGCCAGATACATTCACATGTTTTTTTTTGGACATGCTAATCTGCTGTGTAT